CTATACCCCGCCACCTGGAACACTATTCTGGAATGTTCTAGAGACACTTGTGCTTTGCATAAACAAAATGGGAATGTTTAGTGCTTAATACACTTAGAATGAGACTGAGGAAATGTTGTCATTGATGCATAAAGGAAAAAATGTATTCAAGTAAAATCAGATAAAAACAATTGATTTCTTATACTCTATAATTTAAAATAGTAGCAAATAGTGAGGAGAAGCCTGTAAAGCATCAGTGTAGCTAATGATAGATGTGACTTCTAGAAATGTTTCTGTGAAGGCTTGAACAGCACATTGAGATACTTTATTTTATATATTACTTCAAACTTCAGAAGCTGGCGTTTGGTGTAGGGGTTAAGATGCCAGTTAGACACTTGTATCCCATATCGGAGTACCTGGGTTCAAGTCCCAGCTGTGGCTCCTGACTTCAGCTTCCTGCTAATGAAAACCTTGGGAAGCAGCAGGTGATAGCTCAAGTTGTGGGTCCCCGCCACCCATATTGTATTGAGTTCCTTGCTCCTGACTGGCTTTGCACAGCCCCAGCTGGTGCAGGTGGTGGTGGGGGGGAGGGGGCAGTGAGCCAGTGAATGGGAGCACTCTCTTTGTCAAATAATTTAAAAAAATCAATAGTTTTTGGCTTCCAGCTTTGACAGTTATGATGATGTAACTTAGAATGGTCAACTTTTTGTTACTAGAAGAAACCCCCACAGGGAACTAACACTAAAGAGAGAAGGTTCATTTTGGCTGACGATTCTGCAGGTTCACAGACCAAGATCAGAAAGCCCCATTGGTTCAGCATCTGTTGAAAACCTCCCTCTGGCAGAGACAATGCCGTGTCACCTGGCCAGAGGGAGCATGGGTACCCACGGTGTCCAACGCAATCCAACCTTTTTACCTCCCGGAAGTTCAGCCTCCAGACACCATGCCTGCATTTGGTTCCTGCCCTCAGTGAGACTTTGGGGACCAGTTCTTTAAACACAAGGGCCATGGGGGATGCTCGAACTGATATCTGGACGCTCACAATACTTTTATACTGGAGCAGTGTTTCCTGTATTCACAAGGCCCTTAGAAAGTGCCATCTTCAACTGGGATGAGGGAGGATAGAACCAAAAGTTTCTCCTTGGGTGAGCCAAGGATGTGAGGTAGATTTAGTGATTGAGTCAATGAAGAGAATTTCAAGAAAGGTTTTCTGTATATGAACACCTAGGTATTCAGAGTTAGAAATCAAAATGAGTAGCTCCTTTGATTTCTGAGTGTGGCAGCTGTGAATCTGTTTAAATGAAAGACACTTCTATAAACACAAAAGTGCTTTTCTGCGTACGGTCTTAAATTACTATTAATTAAGTGTGATGTAATATAATAGATCATTATAGTGCCTTAATATGGGTGCCAGTGGATTTGTTAGTCCTTCTAAATGGCTGTTGTGGGTTAATAGTCTTCAGAGGATCATTCACGTAGCCTTTGTGGTTCTAAAAATAGCTTGGTACCCTGGGGTAGCCTTTGCCAAAGTTCGCCTGTTATCAAATGCACTTTTATTTGAATGTGCCATTTCGATGTTTTTTTATTCATATCATTCAATTGCTTTCAGAATCTGCATAGCAAAAAATAGCAATGTTGAAGAAAGAATAAAAGCAAGCTCTTTATAGAGAGAGAAATTTCAGTTATAAAGAGAAAGACGAGTTAGGCATATTGGGCGTCTGTTCTATTCATTAGAATTTTTAACTGGAGATGTGTTCATGTCGCCTCATTGTTTTTATTTTAATTAATATTTCTATGGCAGAGAGCTAATTAGGTAAATGCTGTTGAATATTAAATATGGTAGCAGCTTAGAAGAAAATAAGCATTTCTGGGTCAAAGCCCTTAAGAAAATATTGTCATATGTGAGCCAGTTAATTGAATTGAGTGCCAAACGTGCCTGCCGTCATCCAGCTAGATTCTTCCCGTGACTCAGTTCATTATCTAAGGTTGCTCTGGAATGAAATGACTGGTTCTGTCCAAGTTAATGGTGTTCTTTTTCATCTCAGCTCCTAATGAAGTAAATCTTGATTAGAGAATAGCTCTAACCTCATTCAGTGCGGCTAAGTGTAAGGACAGCCCAAAGAATCTGAACGTGTGTGTCACACCCAGCGTTCTAAATGCTGAGCGTGTGGACGTCTCAGTGCTGTCCCTGGGGGCTTCTGCATTACGGCGTGTTGGTGGCCACAGCGCGTGAGAGACTGTGGAAGACCCCAGCGTACATTCGCAGCCACTCTGTCGTCCTTGCTGCCTGCACCTGACGGCGATGCAGAGCCGCGAGGTTGAGGATTTTCATCAGCCAGCCATCCTTAGCACCGAGGACTTGACCACTCGCAAGCACCTCTGGTCAGCATCATCCGACGGCACTAGGTTTCCAGTTGTATTTCCAAGATGTCCCAGAGCTTCAGACATGTGTGTGGTTGGCTTCCATTTTGCCTCTCTTAAAAACCGATAAAAGGCACGCACTGTGTATTCCAGATCTTCCGCTGGTGTGACTGCTGAGTGACGGTGCTGAGGTTGGCTAGGTGGGGAGTAGGTCTTTCTGTGCAGGTATTCGAAACTTAGACTCACGTGGACTCCAGGAGGAGGCTCCTGGCTCTTCTGGGAGTGCAGGCTTTCCACTCACCTGAGATTATCTCATCAGCTTCCTTGTGCCGGGTCCAGCCACTTCTGTGTGGAGACTTGCTTTTGTCATAGAATAATACAAAGTTTAGACCAGCGATTGCTAACCTATTGCCATGTGATAAAATGTTAGACATTTGAATGTGTTTTACGTTCTGGCTGCCATGTATCCAGTTTATTATTTTATAAGTAATCCTGTTGCTTCTCTTAAGTATTTTAAAATATACTTTTTGGGAAATATTTTTATTTAATATTTTAAAATATGTATTTTTTTTTTACTTATTTGACGGAAGAGTGACAAGGACATCTGCCATTTACTGGGTCACTCCTCAGATGGCCACAGCAGCCAGATTTGGGCCAGGCCAAATCCAGGAGCCCGGAACTCCACCCAGATCTCCCACATAGGTGGCAGGGACTCCGTACGCGAGCCGTGATCTGCTGCCTCTCAGACACATTAGCAGGAAGCCGGATTTCAAGCAGAGGCAGAGGCGGGACTTGATCCCAAGCACCAGATATGGGATGCGGTCCCAGATGGTGGCTTCATCTACTGTGCCACAATAATAAAGGTTTTTAAAACCCCTTCATACTCTTTATTAACACATCAGTTTAGTTTCAAGTAAGGGCATCTTGCAATTAAAAGTGTTTCTTAAAACATTACCGGGGCAAGCATCACGACACAGCAGTTAAGACAGTTTGGAACCTGGCGCCGCAGCTCAATAGGCTAATCCTCCGCCTTGCGGCGCTGGCACACCCGGTTCTAGTCCCGGTCGGGGCACCGGATTCTGTCCTGGTTGCCCCTCTTCCAGGACAGCTCTCTGCTATGGCCTGGGAGTGCAGTGGAGGATGGCCCAGGTGCTTGGGCCCTGCACCCCATGGGAGGCCAGGAGAAGCTTCAGATCAGTGTGGTGTGCCAGCCGTGGCAGCCATTGGAGGGTGAACCAACGGCAAAGGAAGACCTTTCTCTCTGTCTCTCTCTCTCTCACTGTCCACTCTGCCTGTCAAAAAAACATTAAAAAAAAAAAAGACAGTTTGGGTCACCACATGCCGTATTGTATTGCCTGGGTTCAAGTCCCCCCTCCACTTCTGACCCAGCTCCCTGCTAATGTGCTCTGTAGGAGGCAGAAGATGATGGATCAAGTACTTGGGTCTCTGCGGCCTACATAGGAGACCCTCTTTCTGTATGTGTGTGTGTGTGTGTGTGTATGTGTCGCTATCTGTATATGTGTCCTCTCTCTCTCTCCCTGTGTGTATGTATGGGTGTCCTTGTTTCTGTGTATCTCTCCTCTCTCTCTCTCTCTCTCTCTGTCTCTGTCTCTCTGTCACTCTGCCTTTCAAATAAGTAAAACTTTAAAAACATAATTCCATTTGCAATCTCTTAACCTGTTGTGGATCAGGGTTATCTTGATGGCCTGGAACCAAACAAAACAGAGAAATAAAGCAAGGAGGCTGGAACTCCTTCCGGGTCTCCCACCAGGCTGCAGGGGCCCAAGCACTGAGCCACCATCCGCTGCCTCCCAGGATGCATTGACAGGAAGCTGGGTCCAAAGTGGAGCAGCTGGCACTTGGATAGGGGATATAGGCTTCCCAGCGGCACCTGCTGCACCACAACACCTGCCCCTCTACCTCGCATGCTGCATGTAATCTTTTCTATGATTTTGGAAACTCTGTTGGAGGTCAAAGCTTGCCCACTTAGCAATTCCATAGTCTGTGTAGGATGGGCTTTTCCAAGAACGTGCAAAGCAAAGAGATGATAAAAAGTTGAGCCTCTTTTTGTGGGTGGGAGAGGGGTATTTGGAAGGAGCTTCATGTGATGCACGGCCCTCGCTCTCCACTGTACCTAGCCCGGCTCAGCCTCTGTTGCCCACAGTGGGGAAGTTACAGGTGCTTCTGAGGGATAACAGTGAATGGCCTTGGACCTCGTCTTGTCTTCTGGGTTTTATTTTCCTTTGTTCTTGCTCTAGACTGAAGTAGGTCGCTTTGGAAAGCCATAATCTGTTAGAACAGGGAGATTTTGTTCCCATAAGGACCAGAGGATGTACTCAGAAATCTTACAGGTTTTTTTTAAATCTATTACTAATGCACTGGTCTTCCATAGCATCTTGACCCACAAATATAAATGATATTTTTGGCAAGGGTTGGGGGAGATGATAACTGTTATTTGGTTAGAGAAACTTGCAAGAAAAAATAACTCATTGCTTAAGGCCTTCTGTGTCAAGATGGTCGCAAATGGCAACTCTCAGCAGTAATCTATTTCATGGTTAAAATTCTCCCGTTTCACCCCTACCACCCACACGATCATTTATCCTATTTCTGCCCTTCCCAGCAGTGCTCTGCTTACCTGTGTGTGTGTTCTTCTTCCGCAGAGACCCTGCTCGACGACTTCCTTCTCACGTACACCGTCTTTATGACGACCGATGACCTGTGCCAGGCGCTGCTCAGACAATATCCTTCCAGCCCTCGTGGACTTCGTGTCACCTGCCCCCCTGGGGGTTACCCCACATCACGCATTAACTGCCCTTCTTAATTTACGCAGCCCCCCGGAGGAGTGCGGCTGTGTTAAATATTAATGCAGCAATGTCCAAGGTGAAAGGTGAAATGAGATGGAAGAGACAACGGTGGGGGTGGGGGGGACGCTGTCTTCACCCTCTGTGCCAGGGAAGAATTGACCTGTTCATATGATGTTTGCTTCAGATCCATGCCTCCCCATGGCTTGGAAATCTGGAGGCAAATATTGGGTCAAGTTCAGAGTGCAGCTCCAGGTCCTGTGCGTTGACAGGTGTCACCCAGTGAACGGGCTCAGGGGAGGAGCCATCTGCAGGAGTCAGACCATCCGCACGGGAGCTGGGCGAGTGTGTTATCATATTCCTGGGCAGTGTCGAGGCCTAACCTAGTCGCTGGGGCCGACTTAGGTTTTCAGAGCTCTTAGGATGATGGATGTGTTCCTGGTTAAAGACCAGTTAAGGGAGCCTTAGAATTTCATGGTTTCGCTGGAAGAGATGCAACACAGAAACACCGAGATGCCTGAAAGCAAAGCTTCGTCAGCTTAGGAGAGTCTCCAGATGGGCTTGCTTTGCAATCTTTATTTATATATTTTTTTTAGATTTATTTATTTATTTGAAAGGCAGAGTTACACAGAGAGAGAAGGAGAGGCAGAGAAAGAGAGGTCTTCCATTTGCTGGTTCATTCCCCAGTTGGCTGAAGTGGCCAGAGCTGCACTGATCCAAAGCCAGGAACCTCGAGCTTCTTCTGAGTCTCCCACACAGGTGCAGGGACTCAAGGACTTGGGCCATCTTCCACTGCTTTTCCAGGCCATAGCAGAGAGCTGGATCGGAAGTGGAGCAGCCGGGACTCGAACCAGCGTCCTTATGGGATGCCTGCACTGCAGGCGGTGGCTTCACCCTCTACGCCACAGCAGTGGCCCCCGCGATCTTTTAAGAAGGTGTTTTGGAAGCAGTGAAGCAGCCTGCTCACTGCCACGTTTGTATTAAACCAGAGATTCCACTGTGGCTCCCACAGTAAGTTTGAAAACAGATTGCGGGGCCGGCACTGTGGCACAGTGGGTTAACACCCTGGCCTGAAGCATTGGCATCCCATATGGGCTTCGGATCAGGTCCCAGCTGCTCTACTTCCTATCCAGCTCTCTGCTCTGGCCTGGGAAAGCAGCAGAAGATGGCCCAAGTCCCTGGGCCCCTGCACCCACGTGGGAGATCGGGAAGAAGCTCCTGACTCCTGGCTTCAGATTGGCGCAGCTCCATCCATTGCGGCCAATTGGGGAGTGAACCAGTGGATGAAGAACTCTCTTTCTCTCTGCCTCTCCTCTCTCTGTGTAACTCTGCCTTTTAAATAAATAAATAAATCTTAAAAAAAAAAAACAGATTGCTTCCTGTGCATACTGTAGTTCTGAGACCTGAATCTCATCAGGTCATTTGAATTCTTTTCCTGCCAAAGAATTCCTCCATGTGTCCTGGTCTCACAGCATGTCCCTCTGTGAAGGGATAAAAGAAAACTGCAACAAGGGCAAAATTAAAGTAACATCTCTCTTAAAAATATGCACATGGGGATGGTATTTACTTTTTTGCAATTTGCTGTCTGTGCTATGACCAAAGCTAAAGGTTATTTTGAAACCTTTGTCATCTGGAAACATTGTTAGTCTTGATTTTAAAGAATTTCCATAATAAATGAAGTTTCTTTCTATAGCTTCCAAATGTAAGATTCCTAAGAAAATTAGCAATGATTACAGAGTTTTGAATTTCTACTTCTTCAAGTGTGTTTTGGAGAGAATATCTGTGGGCTAATTTCATTTACATTTTAGTATTAACATACTTTGAAAGCAAGTACCATTTTTAAGTAGTACAAATTATGTTTTTATACAAATTCAGTACCTTCAAACTGTTACACTTATGACCCTAACATAATTTGTGATTAACATTTAATAATTCAGCGACTCACAGGATGTCCCTAAATAATCTCTCTTTTTAAAAAAGATTTCTTTCTTTATTTGAGAGGCAGAGCAGCAAAGAGAGCAGGAGAGACAGAGAGAAGAGAGAGCCCTCCATCTACTGGCTCATTGCTTATATGGCTATGACAACCGGGTCTGGGCCAGGCCAAACCCAGGATCCCGGAACTCTGTCAACTCCCACATGCCTGGCACGTTCTTGGGCCACCTTCTGCTACTTTCCCAGGCATCAGGCACTCAAACCGGCACTCTGATATGGGGTGCCAAAGGCTCAGCTGTCAGCTTAACCCACTGCCCCAACCCTAAATAGTCTCTAAGACTTACTTGAACACTATGTGTTACTCAAGCATACATTTCAGTCTTTGGCTAAGACATTGTATGGATGGATGTTAATGGAGAGGCAAGGGGAGAGAGAGAGACAGAGACAGAGAGGGAGGGAGAGGGAGATGGAGAGGGAGAGGGAGAGGGAGGGTTTCCATGTACCACTTAATTCCCCAAATGCCTGCAATGGCTGGGATTGGCCAGGTTGAAGCCCAGATCCAGTAACTCAATCCAGGACACCCATGTGGGTGACAGGGACCCAACTACTTAAGCCATGTCCTGCCACTTCCCAGTGTATGCCTTAGTGGTTAAGTGTTCCTTTGTATTATTTCCATTTTCTGTATTAGGGGTACACACTCATGTTTTGCCGTTGCTTGATTCCAGTAGCTTACAAATGTCGCTTCAGGTGTGGGGACACTGAGAAGGCATCAGGGAAGAGTTACAATAACCTCTGTGTAATGCATGGAATACTGCCTGGCCCACAGCTAGGAGGTTAAATAATATTATTTATGATGATAAAAGCTGAAATATGGCTCTAATCTATGACTAATGTCCAAAAATCGTGGGGAAAAGAAAATACCTTGGACCACTGCTTAGAAGGTGGTAGCACTGGAACGGGAATGTCGTCTTCACTAGGATGTGCAGAGAAACATCTCACATTAATACGCAGGCCATATTTTTTTTTTGGAGGTTGCATTATTTCACAAAAGGCAGAGTGTGCAAAAATACAGCAACAATCATGGGGAAAGAGTCCTGGCTTAAAATGTTTTAGATTTCATGGGTGTTGATAATCAGTGAAAGGGGTAAGAAATTCAGATAAATTTTCATGTAAAACATCTTAGCCAGGGTCCAGCGCTGTGGCTTTGCAGGTAAAGCCACCCCTGCAAAGCTGACATTCCATACGGGCACCAGCTTGAGTCCTGGCTGCTCTACTTCCCACCCAGCTCCCTGCTAATGGCCTGGAAAAAGCAGCAGAAGGTGGCCCACGTGCTTGGGTCCCTGCCACCCACATGGGAGACTCAGAAGAAGCTCCTGGCTCCTGGCTTCGGCCTGACCCAGCTTCTGCCATTGTGGTCATTTGGGGAATGAACCAGCGGATGAGAGATCTCTCTCTCTGTGTCTCTCCCTCCCTCTGTAACTCTAACTTTAAATAAATAAACAAATCTTTGAAAAAAAAAAAAAAAAAGCCTTAGCCAGAGCAAGCATTTGGCATGATGGTTAAGATGGTGGCTGAGTCACCTGCATTCCATATTGTAGTGCCTGGGTTCTGAGTTCGAGGCTTGGCTCTGCTTCTGGTCCTGTTCCCTGCCTGGGCAGAACTTCGTGGCTGACCACTGAGGGTACTTGAGTCATTTTCTGGGTTTACTTCTGTTCTTCCAAGTGCACCCCTGCGCTCTCGCTGTGCACAGAGTCCCCCCCATGCACAACTGTACACCTGCAGATTATCTGCTAACCAAGAGTAAACGGGGTCTGTCCGTATCTCTTGATTTCCCACAATGTCGCATTCTTTCTTAACCATCTGCACCTATTCTGCTAAGAAGTATCAAGGCAAGGAAGAAACCTCGGACGTTCCGTGCCGGAAACGGAAGGTGCTGCATCTTGTTTCCCAGTGGATCGCGCTCTACAAGGACTGGCTGCATGAAGACGAGCATTCCAAAATGTTTCTGAAGGTAATCTCACGCTTCTGCACAGGCCGCGATGTCCCACGGTGGCTTCTGTTTTCAGCTTCACAGCTCACAACCTCATTTGTAGGTCACAGTCATTCAGTTTTTTTTTTTTTTTTGTCAAGTTCTGATTCAGGGGAGGCATAAATTCACTCTGATGTCTGAAGCCAGGTGTTTCCTCCCATTCTCTGTTGCTGTTGCTTGCCTGATTTGAACAGCATGACATACAGCCCCTGGAGTTGATAGGATCATTAAAAATACATCGATAAATGCTATCTTCCCTTTAAAATATAAAACCAGCAAGACATGAAAATAGGCATGTTTCCATTCAGGAGTTTTTGGGAACGTCCAGCCTGTGGGCCCTATAAGGTTCACAAGACCATTTGGTCTGGCCCTGCCAAGGCACCACAGGTCAGACTTTAAATTCAGTAAATCTGTAACAGGCTCATTTTTTTAAAAAAGATTTATTGTTTGGAAGAGTTAGAGAGAGAGGTAGAGGTAGAGAGAGAGAGAGGTCTTCCATCTTCCTGTTCACTCCGCAATTGGCCGCAATGGCCTGAGCTGAGCTGAGCTGTTCTGGAGCCAGGAGCCTCTCCCGCGTCTCCTATGTGGGTACAGGGGCCCAAGGACTTGGGCCATCTTGTACTGGTTTCCCAGGCCGTAGCAGAGAGCTGGATCGGAAATGGAGCAGCTGGAACTTGAACCAGCGCCCATATGGGAAGCCAGCACTGCAGGCCAGGGCTTTAACCTGCTGCGTCACAACGCTGGCCCACAGGTGTCGCTCCCCCATTCGTGGAGGAACGACACAGGACCCTGTGCTGCTCCCTCACCCGCTCAGCCCTCCCCGGGTCTGCTGCTGGTTCTTCCAGGGTTGGCTGCTGACCCCTCCACCTCCGTGGAGGGGCGGCTCCCCCTGCCACTTTCCCCACTTCCGCAGGGGAGCGGCACACCACCGGCCGGCTCTCGGGGGCTGTTCAGATGTTATCCGGATGTTCCCTTTAGATGTTCCCAGTGCATGTTGTCTCTCTCCTCCTTTATAGTCCTCTTCCACCAATCCCAACTCTGCTACCCACACGCCGAGCACGCTGCTCTCCTCCAATCAGGAGCAGGATCAGCTCCTGCAGTTCAGCAAATTGGCGAGAGGCAGCTGTATAGAAGTTGTTTACTCCCTTTCAGCGCCATATTGTGGGAGAGCAGATGCATAGAATAAGTCCTAATTCCAGTAACTTAGTCTAGTCCGAGTTGCTCCCCACACACAGGCTCATTTTTAAGTTGATGATTTTATATGGCCCACAAATGATGTTATAAATATCCAAGTAGCCCTCAGCAGAACAAAGGTTCCCCCTGCAAATAAATAGACATTTTTTTTTAAAATAAAATTTTCTCCATGTCAAAGGACAGAAATTAGCATTTTATATAGCATTCAAGTTTATTAAATTTCAGGATGTATTAGAAAATGTTTAACTTTCATGAGCTTCAAGGTTCGTGTGGCCCCCAAACTTCATATCTAACTGAACTTTCAGTAACTTCTTATTTGCTTTGAAAAGGCTGCGTGTTTGGCTTAGAATTGTGGAACTCAGAACTGCTTCTGCAGAACAGGAGAGGAAACCTTATAAAGTGTCCCAGTGAGTCAGGGAGCCTTTCAGAAGCTCGATTTATAGGTTGTCTCAAAATGACTTAATTCAGCTGATACTTTGCCTCCCAAACGGTTGTATGGTCGTACCTTCTTTTGAATATGAGGTTATGAGGTAGGCTTAGAAATCTTGAGTAGCCAAGCCAGGGACTCTGTAATTCCCAGCGTTGTCTACTGCAGCCCCTAAAATCAGCCAGTGAGCCATGGGAGTTGAGCGATGTAAGGTTAGGAGATGTCACTGGTACCTGATGAAAGCATTGTGCTGTCCCAGGGTCCACGGGGCTCACTGGGCAAGACGGCCACTGGCAAGTGTTCATCCGCACGACATGGACATTAAACCATTTCAGCTGCCACTTGTCTTCTCCCCCTCCCCCACAGACCATATACAGGAATGTCCTGGATGACGTCTATGAATACCCAGTACTTGAAAAAGAACTGAAAGAATTCCAGAAGATCCTGGGAATGCACCGGCGCCAGTAAGTGCTTGCGTTTCCTGACTGTGGTGAGTGGAAAATGCAGCAGCGAGTGCGGTAGGGTTTGGGGTGTCTCATCCCTCCCGCTGCTTTTCAGCATCTTGGGTCTTGGTTTCCTCTCGGTTCTTTAGCCTTCCTAGGAGCATCATGTATGTTATGTTTGTATGAGCACGTCATGTATGTTATGTTTGTATGAGCTGGCTAGTTTTCTAAGATTCTGCTTGATGTGGTCAAAAACACCCTCCTGGGTGCGTGAAAAGATTATTCAAGAAATTATTATTTACTTTAAAACTCTGCCTGTCTGGCTTGGAATCTGGGGCTTGTACCTGGTTTTCCATGGACTGGAAGAGACTTTCTAAATAGGGCCCAGAGAGTCAGGAGACCTTTGAGAAGCTCAGGGTTCTGGTTGCCTCCGGGACTCTTGGAGGGCCCACGTGTCTTGTAGGTATCTCTCATTCATCTCTTGGGCTGACAGCACCTGGCTTTACTAGAGTCACCACTGCCTCTCCTTATTAACTTTGATAAATGAAAGCAAGTTGTTATCCAGTCTTCGGGTATAGCTGCAGAGTTCACGTGAAGGGAAAGTATTCCAGGCTGGTGTTGTGGTGCAGTGGGTTAAGCCACTGCCAGTGCTACCCACATCGTATATGAGTGCTATTTGAGTCCCAGCTGCTGCCGTACTTCCAATCCAGCTCCCTGCTAATGTACCTGGGAAAGCAGCAGAAGATGCCCAGGTGCTTGGGCCCCTGCACCCACGTGGGAGACCCTGTTCCAGGCTTCTGTCTTTGGCCTGGCCCAGCCCTGGCTCTTGCAGCCACTTAGGGGGTAAAGCAGCACATGGAAGATCTCTGTGTGTGTGTGTGTATGTGTGTGTATAAGTGCACCTCTCATAGAAAATGTTGATTTAGGCCTTTCAGATTACTGATAAGATTGAACCCCTAGGCCAGCGCCGCGACTCAATAGGCTAATCCTCCGCCTTGCGGCGCTGGCACACCAGGTTCTAGTCCCGGTCAGGGCGCCGGATTCTGTCCCGGTTGCCCCTCTTCCAGGCCAGCTCTCTGCTGTGGCCAGGGAGTGCAGTGGAGGATGGCCCAAGTGCTTGGGCCCTGCACCCCATGGGAGACCAGGAGAAGCACCTGGCTCCTGGCTTCGGATAGGCATGGTGCGCCGGCCACAGCACGCTGGCCGCGGCGGCCATTGGAGGGTGAACCAATGGCAAAAGGAAGACCTTTCTCTCTGTCTCTCTCTCTCACTGTCCACTCTGCCTGTCAAAAAAACAAAACAAAACAAAACAAAACAAAAAGATTGAACCCCTAACTTGATTTTAGGAAAAGAAAACGCCATTGCAAAATATGTAAGCTTGTGCACATTGAGAAATTCAGACATCAGTTGCAGGGTGTATGTTGTGGTGCGATGGGCTAAACTGCCGCTTGGAACACTCGCTGCTCCATACGGAAGCACTGATTTGAGTCCCAGCTGCTTGTGCCTGGGAAGCAGCAGGTGATGGCTCAACTACCTGGGTCCCTGATTCCTACCTGATAGACCAGGAGGTAGTTTCTGGATCCTGGCTTTGGCCAGGTCAGGCCCAACGGTTCCAAGTATTTGGGGACTGAGTGGGTGGAAGCTCTGTCTTTCTCTTCTCATCTCTCTCCTTCTCCCTCTTCCTCTCTATCACTCTGCCTTTCAAATTAAAAAAAAAAAAAAAAGGCAGGCAGGACAGTCAAATGGACTTGCATGTTAAAACCGGGTGTTGGAAATGATTGTTGGTCTTTTTATCAGTATGCATTGTATTAAGTTTCCATAGCCTAAGACAAATGTGAAAATGTGTACCAATAAATGAAGCAAAAGAGAAGAAAATGAGAACTTTGCATCAAAATAATCCTCTCCCACATGGAATTTGCTCTGTGCTGTAGGGCAGACCTGTTTCAGTGGAGAATGTTAATTCCTGGCTTAATAGATTCAAATACTTTAATGAGATTTACTGCATGCCATTTAAAAACTTACCTAAGAAGGGGAAATGATAGCTTCAAATAAGAAAAAGGATATTAAGATAGGGTTCTTGGGGCCGCTGCTGTGGACAGCAGGTAAAGCCGCCGCCTGCAGTGCTGGCATCCCATATGGGTGCCAATTTAAGTCCTGGCTGTTCCACTTCCTATCCAGCTCTCTGCTGTGGCCTGGAAAAGCAGTGAAAGATGGCCCAAGTGCTTGGGCCCCTGCACCTGTGTGGGAGACCCAGAGGAAGCTCCTGGCTCTTGGCTTTGGATCAGCGCAGCTCTAGCCATTGTGGCCATTTGGGGAGTGGACCAGCAGATGAAAGACCTCCCTCTCCCTCTTTCCCTCTTTCCCTCTTTCTTTCCCTCTTCCCTCCCTCTTTCCCTCTCCCTCCCGTCCGCTGGATTACTTCCCAAATAGCCACAACAACTGGAGCTTATATGAAGCCTGGAGCTTCTTCCAGGTCTCCTACACAGGTGCAGGGGCCCAAGCACTTGGGCCATCTTCCTCTGCTTTCCCAGGCCACAGCAGAGAGCTGTATCAGAAGTGAAGCAGCCGGGACTCAAACCAGTGCCTAAACAGAACATCAGCACTGCATGTGGCAGCTTTACCCACTATGCCACAGAACCAGTATGTATGTATGTATGTATGTATATATATATATATACACTTTATTTTATTTTTACTTGGAAGTCAGAGTTACACAGAGAAAGAAGGAGAGGCAGAGAGAGAGAGAGAGGTCTTCCACCCACTGGTTCACTCCCCAGTTGGCTGCAATAGCCAGAGCTATGCCGATCCGAAGCCAGGAGCTTCTTTCGGGTTTCCCACATGGGTGCAGGGGCCCAAGGACTTGGGTCATCTTCCACTGCTTTCCCAGGCCATGGCAGAGAGCTGGATCGGAAGTGGAGCAGCTGGGACTTGAACCAGCACCCATATGGGATGCCAGCACTGCAGGCAGTGGCTTTCCCTGCTATGCCACAGTGCTGGTCCCCCCTTATATCTTTTTTAAGGAGCAAACTCCTCCACCCCAGTGCATAAAACTTGGTCTTCCACGACAATAACTGGCGTTCTTCTGGGTTTGGGATGCAGGCTGACTTGTTGTCTTTCTCCTTTCAGCACTGTGGATGAATATTCACCACAAAGGAAGGTAAGACAGGTGCTTCCACGGAAATCAGGCGATCTGGCCCTTCTTCCTGCCTCGGGCACGCGGGGGCGGGGGCTGCCGGGGCTGCAGCAGGCGGCACGTGCAGCTCCACTTTCGTGTCCCTGTGCCTGTGCACATCGGAGTTCAGCCACGTGCCCTGAATCGGATTGGGTTCTCCGTCTTTCGTGGTGCGTTTTTGGAGTCTCAAAGGCTCCTCTGCTGTCCCCAGTGGCAGGCATTTGACTTTCAACATGTCTCTGCCTCCCTTCCCCAAAATCCGGGCAACAGTTTTGGCCCGAGGTGGGGGTGGGGGGAGTCTGTTAAGGAAGAGGTTTGCACTGAGCACCACAGAGGGAGAGGTGAGCGAGGGTTGGCGTGTTCCCCTTTGCGCGCGCTGTGGGCACGGGTTTTGTAGAAGCTGATGCAGCCGGGGAGGGGGCAGGAACATCTCAGTGCACCAAGGCTGTTTGTTTCCCTGCAGAGAGTCGCTGGACCACAGCAGGGGCATGGCTTTCTCAGAAGGATCGAGGGATGTTTGTAGGCTCCAGTTGTGGGAGATTGTGGGGGTACTCATCACCACGTGGCAGAGAGTAACAACAGGGGCGTGGCTGGCACTGGTTTTGGCCATCGCCATTAAGTTGCTCAGAATCTCCATTCCCCTCCTCCCCCCCCCCCCCCACGTATTCATGGAGACAACTCCCAATTTGTTTCTCTAAGATTGGATGGGTGGATTTCAAGTTTTTCAAAAAAAAAAAAAAAAATTGGCCAGCTCCTTGGGAACATGTTGTCAGCAGCTGTGGATTTCCAAAGGGCAGGCCCCAGTCCTTCATTGTTCTCTTTCTCCCTTTTTTGCAGAATAAAGTCCTTTTCCACCAATTCAGTCTCAAGGAGAACTGGCTGCAGCACAGAGGCGCTGTGATTGAAACGGAAGAAAGTGAGTCGGGCTCCAGCTTGGGGGGGTTGAGGCCGCCCGGGGTTGCAGCTCGTCACCGGCTTCCTCCGGCCCATGTTCACGGCCAGGAGCTGCTCTTCTCTCTGCCTCTGAGCATCAGTTTCCATGGACCACATCATCCCGTCCCGAGGGCCAAGGGCGTTGTGAACTTGGGACGTAAGGACAGGGAACCAGGCAAGAAGCCTCTGTGTTGTCGGGCAGAGGTGCAAAATGTACCTAGAACAACAGCCTTTGCCTTTTTCCCATAACCACCTGAGAAGGCCACCAAGGCCACAGGACAGGGGTCGGGGCTGGGTTTGGCCCCGAGATTTACAGAAGAAAGGTCTTGGAGAGAATAATGAGGCAGGCTGTGTGCTCAAAGTGCCTGCAAAGCAAGGCTGTGCCGGGTGGTACCGCACTGCAGTAGGCGCGCAGTAGTGCTGCAGGGGCAGAGGGCGGGACCTGACACCCCCTGGAAGGCGCTGTCCACTCACTGCTAGAGGAAACTCCTCTTGAGCGCCCTGAGGATGCCAGTGAGCCTTTCTCTGTCCTGTTCTATAAGGGGAAAGGAAGAGTGGCAGGAGTGCAGAGCCAGGAGACAGTGAATTAAAATGTTCACACTCTGGTGACCTTGAGACTCCCTTAATTTTTAAAGAAAATATTTCTTCCTTTATTTGAAAGGAGGAGTTAAAGAAAGGTTGGGGGGGGAGGGGAGAGACAGCGCAAGAGAGCATGAGCACATGATCGATGAATCTTCCATCTGGTGGTTCAGTCCCTAAATGTCTTCAGTATCTGAGGCTGAGCCAGGCCCAAGCCAGGAGCTCCATGTGGGTGCAGAGGCCCAAGCACGTAGGCCATCTTCCACTGCTTTTCCAGATGCATTAGCAGAGAGCTGTATTCCAGGTGGAGCCGCTGGGACTAGAACCGGTGCCCATCTGGGATGCCAGTGCTGCAGGCAGCAGCTTAACCCACAATGCCACAGTGTCAGCCTCTTTCAATTTCTTATTTTTATTTTTTTAAAGATTTATTTTTATTTATTTGAAAGAGTTACACAGAGAGGAGAGACAGAGAGATAGAGATCTTCCATCCGTTGGTTCACACTCCGCTTGGCTGCAATGGCCGGAACTGAGCCGATCCGAAGCCAGGAACCAGGTGCCTCTTCCAGGTCTCCCAAGCAGGTGCAGGGGCCCAGGAACTTGGGCCATCTTCTGCTGCTTTCCCAGGCCATACCAGAGAGCTGGATTGGAAGTGGAACAGCGGGACCCAAAACCAGCACCCATATGAGATGCTGGCACTGTAGTATGTGGTTTTACCTGCTATGCCACAGTGCTGACCCCTTAATTTCTTGAACATTTAAAACACCCAGTGTCCCAGGAGTGCTTCTTCTGCCCTGTGGTGTTTGTGTGCAGTGTCTCTGAGAGAGAGATTGTAGCCAGCTAAGCGTCATTTAGCCCAAGTCGAAGAGCAGGCAAAATGATCTGACCTCCTGATGCAGTCATCGGTGACGCTCCTTGCTTGTGTTGTCTGACAGTTTGATGTGCCATCCCCGCTGAGTTTCAAGGAGCCTCAGCGTTCCGACACCCCTGACCTTGTTCGCTGGCTTCTTAAGCCACCTGTCTGTCTGCCTTACAGTCAGTACTTTGGGCCCAGATCTCCTGCCTTGCTCAGGAAGCCGGCTTCTCTGTGGAAGCAGGAAGCCTTTGTTTTCTCACGCCCATCAAGTTGACTGCTTGGTAAATGTCATTGTCTCAGCTCCCGCACCACCCGCGGCACATGAGATCCATCCAGTGCTTCCCGGCCGTGTGTTTACTTTGGGGCTCTGTCCAAAATTCACAGGCAGACTTTCGCTTAGTTTGCATTTCTGCGAAAACAGCCCTGCGCTGAGTTCTGTGGTGCCATTTTAAAATCGCCTGGAAGGTTTTTCTGGAAGCTGTGCTCTGGCTGTCTTTGATTAGGTGTTACAGAAGAGCAGAATATCTAAGATGGTATTCTCCCCCTGTCTGTTCAGAAGGAGCCTTTTTTTAATGGCTTCAGAGGAGCTGTCATTGGTTTCCATTGCTGTTGAACAGTTTCTGCTGTTCAAATGGTAAAATTTCCCCCAGGATCCTTTCTCCCTGATAGCGAGAACGTCCTGGGAATAATGATTGGCGCCACGGACAATAAGAAGGAAATTAAAAAGGCGAGGGAGGCGAAACTTATGCGCCAGCTCATGCCAGGGGCAAGCTGACGACCGAGCCTCCGATAAGCTTCCCGGGATTCTCACAGCCCAGGCAGGGCTCAGCTTGGGCGATGGGGCCTGTTCTGGAAGGGAGTGTAAGATCACAATTCATGAGTTAACATGCTGACGGGCTGCTGTGAGAGCGGGCAGCGCCTCTCACAGCAGGGGTTGTACAGTACGGTCGTTGGCGCCCAGGTGCCCCGGATGGGGTGAGCAGGTGCCTGCCACGTGCACAGGCTGGAGCTGCCCTGGACTCCCCTGACAGCTGGGAAACCTGAGTCCACGCATACTTGTTCACTGGCCGGCCGACGGCCACGTTTTGCTTGTACAGCACACACTGACAGGCTTATCACCCCATGGCTTCACGTACATATGTCAGTAGGTCAGTCTCACTCCGAAGGGCTTCATAAAACTGAACAAAGGGGCCAGTGTCGTGTACAGCGGGTTAAGCCACTGCCTGCGACACCAGCATCCCATATGAGCACCAGTTTGATCCACTTCTGATCCAGCTCCCTGTTGACGTACCTGGAAAAGCAGCAGAAATGGCCCAAGTGCTTGTGTCCCTGCTGTCCACATGGGAGACCCAGATGGAGTTTGAGGCTCTTGGCTTTAACTCTGGTCCAGCCCTGGCTGTTGCTGCCATTTGGGGAGTGAACCAGCCAATGGAAGATTCTCCCGCTCTCTGTCTCTCCTCCCCCCCTCCCACTCTGTCTCTTGTTCCCTCTCTGTACCTCTGCCTTTCAAATAAATAAATAAATCTTACAGAAAATGAAAGAGAGTAGCACGGTGGGTACCTTGGATGGAACAGCCTGTGGCTGGCCACCAAGGCTCTCTGCTCACACACAGTTCTTCCCTCCTGCAGTCTTTTGCCACGTGTACATAACGGAGCACTCCTACGTCAGCGTGAGGGCCAAAGTTTCCAGCACAGCCCAGGAGATCCTGAAAGTGGTCGCAGAGAAGATCCATCACGCAGAAGAGGAGCTGGCCCTGGTGGCCATTGCGTTCTCCGGGGGTGAGTTGTTTCCCATCTCTGATTATTCCTCTCCCACTGTCCCTTCCGGGCCCACAGCTGGATAACCATGGCAACAGTGAGGTGCCGCCTAGCAGAGGTGTTTCCATGGCAACGGCTGGGTGCTGCTGGATGCTGAATTTTCCTCCCAACAGCTGACTCGGGAGGCATGCCCAGTGTTTTTGAAATGCATTATAAGGCTTTTTGTATTTTGGACTCTAGATAAGCCTTCTATTTGTATACTTAAATTAACTATGGGAATTGCTAAAGGGGGGAATTACTATAGGGAAAAAAAATAAAATAAAAAGGAGTCTTACTGCCAGGTAACAATTTAATACCTGAAGACTCCGTGTTGGAAGATAGCAAAACTGTGCAGTAAGCCACGTGCCCACAGGACAGCGTTCCTGCAGGTGGACATGGGGAGTGAGGCCTGTCTCCCCCTGTGAGGCTTTCTTGATCCTCAGAGAATGGGTTATTGTCTGTTTTGAATAGGATCACACAGATTACAAGCTGACACCATCGATCCGTGGGGCCCAAACAGACCTCTCGGTTTTCACTGGGGCCTGTCACTTCTCAGTGGCACCCGCCTCCCTTTGTGACTTGCAGTCTTTATTTCCTATCTCATGAACCCCAAGCAAAGCACCAAGACCGTGGCTTAGCTGTAGTCACTGGGCTGCTCCGCCAGCGATGGGGCCGCGGGGAGGGGACAGAGCGGCCTTTGCGTGGGCCCTTTGTTTACGGCAGGCTATACCTGGTGTTGAAGTCCCGTGTGGCTCCTGCGGTCTCCAAGCCAGCGAGTTCCACGTGCAGACAGAGCCCCGCTTCTGCCGGGCCTCTTCTGCCTCCCCAGGAATCTAACGGTGCATCGTCTTGGAGCAGGCATCCGAGACGCGTGTGGACCCCGTGAATTTTAATCAGCAAGTGGTTGCATTTTTGATAATAGATTTTGGGTGGAGATGATAAATGTTTATTATATGTGATTTTCAGGGACCAAAGATATTATTAAACTATTGGCCTTTTAAATAGTATTAAAGCTTCCTCAAAACTAGTATTTGATGTCAAGTTGCTACCGCTACAGAAAGTAATCTTTGGGTGCCCAGCTAGACAGGTGTTGGGAGAGGGACGGGCCCTAGGAACCTAACAGTACCACTGAGATAGTCTCCGGGAGCTGGCTCGTCAGCCGGGGGCCACGTGAGAGTCTGCCAATTAATGAGTGGCTCTTTCACTACCCAGTTATCTATTTGATGGCTGTGAAATGCCATTTTCATACTCTATTAAATTAGATTCATCAGGGCGAGCTAGCGTGTATAGACCCATTGCTAATCATCGCTAGAAATATCAGCTTATCTGCTGAATTACCCCACAGATTTGGAAACGTGCCATAGCTTTCCACCCATTAGTTATTCTGTCTGTTAAGAACCTTTGTGCCTGCATTTGATTATCTCTGAAACAATAACGTGGTAAAGAAGCAGGGCAGGTGGGACGGGCCAGAGCTTAATGCATTTCTTGCTCCCGTTACTTAATGTTTTTTAAATGATTGATTGATTGATTGATTGATTTGGGAAACATACAAGCAAATCTGCCATTCAGTGGTTCACTCACCAGATGCCCAGAATAACCAGGATTGGGTCAGGTTGAGGCCAGGAGCCAGGCATTCAATCCAGATGCCCCCCCTGGGTGAGCAACTAGGACCCAATCACTTGAGCCACCCCCTGCTGCCTCCCAGGTGCTCATTAGCAGGACACTGGAATCAAGAACAGAGCCAGTCTCTAGCCCAGGCAGTCTGCTAAGGGATGGAGGCGTCCCAACCAGCAGCTCAGCTACTACACCAAAAACACCTGCCCCACTTACATAGTTTTTTATAAATAATGTTTCATGCTCCTCTAGAGTGAAATTATCATGAGATCTGTATTTTCTTTTTGTCTACAAAAGTTTAAAGATGTTGGAAGTTCTGTGGATTTTTCTGAAAGAAGCAGTACTATCATCCTTATATCTTTAGTAGACTTTTTTTTTTCTTTTATGATTTATTTATTTATTTGAAAGGCATAGCGATGGTAGGGGGCTATATTTTCCATCCAGTGGGTCACTCTCTAAATGGCCACGAAAGCCAGGGCTGGGCTGTGCCAAAAACCAGGAGCCAGGAACTCCCTCTGGGTCTCACAAGAGGGTGGTTACTTGAGTCATTGTCCACTGCTGCCCAGGCACATTCGCAGGGCGCTGGATCAGAAGCAGAGCAGCTAGAGGGCGCTGTTGTGGCTTAGCTGGTAAATCCGCCACGTGTGACGCCAGTGTCCCATGTGGGTGCCAAATGGGAGACCTGGACAAAGCTGCTGGCTTCAGGCTTTGTCCCAATCCCAGCCATTGCAGCCATCTGGGGAGTGAGCCAGCAAATGAAAGATCTCTGTCTCTCTCTGTAACTCTGCCTTTCAAATAAATAAATAAATTTTTTAAAATGTAGGAGTGGAACAGCTGGGGCTTGCACCAGCACTCCAGTGTGAGGTGCAGGTGCGGGTGGCTTTTTACCTGCTGTGCCACAGGGCCCACCCCTCCCATGAACTTTCTGAAGACCCTTGTATGCACCGATTTGTAAAAAAAATTGTACCAAAGAACATTTGTCTTTGAATTCCAATATTTAATTCCAACGTTTTGAAGTAGTCATGGTAACCTCCCCAGCTGTTCAGAGGCTAAAACCATACATTTTCATCTTTCATCGTATATGAGAAACCTGAAAATAAAGGAAAAAATATTTCTTGGAAAATAGAAAGGTTTTTATCATAAAGACACGGGTTATTTTCTGTAAAGTGTGAATGAGACTCCTAAATCCCCTTGTCACTTAGACACAGGCACACAGAGCACCGAGAGAAATTCTAGCCCAGTGAGAAAGCGGTTCAGAACCGGGCTGTGACACCCGTGACCTGGCGTCATAGTATTATCGATCTTTATGATGCTGGGCCATAAAGAATCTATTAGACTGTCATTTGTATTCTCTGTATCAAGCAGAAATATTCCAAACTAAGTTTGGATTGGAGCTGATCATCTAGAGAGAATGGTGTCCAGTCACTGGATGGCCACGCGGCTCCCGTGGCTGTGGCAGGAGGCTTTGATATTGCTTCAGTTTTGCAGTTAGGAGGAGGATGCTTTTCCAGGAGGGAAGCTGTTGTGTCATTACAAGGCTCTCCTTGCAGTACAGAAAAGGTCAGAGGGCAGGGACAGTTCGCAATCAGGGAGATGCGACAGAAGAATACGTGAAAGGGTTTTCTGCCTCACTAGGAGTCAGCAAACCCAGAAGAAACTGAGAATCCCATGTGGGTTTTAACCAAACAGCAAATCTGCCAAAAGCCACCATCAGTGTAGGTCAGAACCATGCCAGACACCTCTTTTTAGGAAAATAGTGTGATTTGTTTTCTTGAAAAGAATTGCAAAGAAATTTGGAAGCATGTATCCAAAACTTCCAAACTGTTAATTCACTTTGAGCCAGTACTTCCAGTACTAGGAATCTGTCATAAGAAAATCATCTACAAGCAGACAGATTTGTGCCATAGTGTATTGACTTTGACAGTGTGTGTGGGGGTTGCCCTTTAATCAAGTCCATTATCTTCCAGCTCCTGGCTGCTGCTCTGCATATGACAAGCCATCTGCCCCAAAGAAAGTAGGAGCCATTAAACCCTCAACAGTAGTAGAAAGATTAAATGATGTTATATAACCAATGAAACATGATATAGACAGATCATGTTTTAAAGGTTTGTTTATTTATTTATTTGAAAGGCAGAGTTACAGAGAGGCAGAGAGAGAGAGAAAGAGTCTTCCATCTGCTGGTTCACTCTCCAGATGGCTGCAACAGCTGCAGCTGCGCCGATCCAAATCCAGAAGCCAGTAGCTTCTTCCGGGTCTCCCACATGGGTGCAGGGGTCCAACCACTTGGGCCATCTTCCACTGCTTTCCCAGGCCATAGCAGAGAGCTGGATCGGAAGTGGAGCAGCTGGGACTCAAACCGGTGCCCATATGGGATGCTGGCACTGCAGGCGGTGGCTTTACCCGCTCCAATCCACTTTAAGTCATACTTACTTTTAACTATTTTTTTAAGAACTTCACACTTCAGATGCACTGTGTAGGCCTACTGCTACTCTTATGTTTCTCATGACTTTTTTTTTTCTTTTTTGAAATAAAGAGAAGCATGAACTTCAGCCGAATGACTTGGCCATCTCCAAATCCGTTGAGGCATCCGGGCGGTTATATGTCTACCGGAAGGACCTGGCTGACACTTTGGTAAGGAACCATGGCCTTGAACTAGAAACACGCAGCACTACCCTCAGACACGACACAGGTTTCCCATGCCAAATCCCTCCAAAGGGAAAACTTCCTGAGCTTCTGAAACACCAGCTGTGGGATCGGTGATCTCTCCATTTTATTCCGTTTCCTCTTTCCTGGGAGTCTGTGGGGATGAGGCTGAGAAACGCACCCTGGGTGGGTTGGAGGGAAAGGGACGATTCACTGCATCTGGTGCACTTGGAATGTTCCACTTCCTTGAGGAATGGGGGATTTTCCCTGTGTTCATTGGAGTCATAACCATGAGACATCAGATTCCACGGAAGCCCAGGAGTTTGACAAAATGTAGATTCCACGCTGTATCTTGTTTTCAGTTAGAAATTTAAGACTCTGCCTAGGTGGGCATTTTTCTGTTGTGCTGTTCCGAAAGACCTCAGCCTGTGGTTGCTTCCCAAATGGCAGAACCGTTCCCTTGGAACCTTCTAGAAAGAATGGGCTCTCCCAGGCAGCCAGCCTATCGTCTGGACTCAGGGTCCTCCTCACCCCTCATGCAGTTGTCACCGGGTGGGTCTTTGCAGCTGGCACAAGACACCTTCACCAGTTCATGGAAAGTACGCATCATGTAAAAACCATGCACAGATCTCAAAACTTCTCTGCGCCAAATAAACTTAGCTTTACATTCCATTTTCCATGAACTCTTTGATGTCCTCCTGAACGTGTGAATTGTGTTAACCAAAACTGCTTTAACAGAAATATTACGTGTAAAGTTAACCTGCAGGATATCTAACTCCCATCATACTGTCCATCGCTATCAATTTTCACCCATAGTACTGGATACGAATGTGCCACATAATTTGCACATGGTTCAAAGAGCCTGGGTAATGGACTCCGAGTACAGCCAAGTCAGGGAGAGTGCTAGGGTATTAAACCCAGCTGTGTTTGGCTCCAATGCCCCTGCGGATTGCTCTCATTGTGCATGATTTAGAAGAAAAGGAGCTGACCTCTTCCCGTTCCTTGCATGTCTGCACTGAAATTGTGGGCTTGCTCATTTCATCTTCAAAACATTGCAGTTGGGGCTCACTTGGCTAATCCTCCACCTGCGGCACCAGCATCCCATATGGGCACTGGGTTCTAGTCCCAGTTGCTCCTCTTCCAGTCCAGTTCTCTGCTGTGGCCCGGGAGTGCAGTGGAGGATGGCCCAAGTGCTTGGGCCCCTGCACCCCTGTGGGAGACCAGGAGGAAGCACCTGGCTCCTGGCTTCGGATTGGTGCAGCGCCGGCCGTGGCAGCCATCTAGGGAGTGAACCAAAGGAAGGAAGACCTTTCTCTCTGTCTCTCTCTCTCACTGTCTATAACTCTACCTGTCAAATAATAATAAAAAAAAAAAGATTGCAGTTCAAATAGAAGAAAAGGGAAGCCTCACACTTGGAACCACTAGGACCCATGAGCACACCCATTCATCTTCTTAGAAGACAGGAATTAGAGCTGTGAAGGGACAGGAGAGGGAGAGTGTCTCGATGACCGGGTTCCAGGACAAGGGCTGTGGCTAGGGAAAGTCGGAGGAACAGACCACCAAGTAGAACAGCCTTGCATCCTGCGGAGGGCAGCAGGTGTTGGTGCACTGCGCAACTCGCAGCTCGCCCTTTGAAAGTCTGCCGGGCAGTCCGTGCGTCCCAGCCTGGCCAGGCCAGTCCTGGAGAAGCCCCGCCTTCCCTCCGTTGCCCGCGCCCTCCTGTCCACACCACACCTGCATGGTTGTGAGTTCAATGAGCGTGTCAGTATTTTCTGAGCTGTTGATGGAGTCGGTGTTTTCTGAGCATCACACTGAGGCACGGAGGACATGTGTACCGTGAGCTGCTTTGGGGACAACCACATGTGTGGAGAAAGCTCTGTGGTGGTTGTGTGTGCATGTGTGCATACGTGTGTGTATGCATACGTGTGTGCCCGCATGTATGTTTTAAGGAAACCTTTTTATAAATGTAAAACTAAACCAAATACAAATCTTTCCTAATTTAGTTATAGATTAATATTTCTTTAAAGATTTATTTATTTATTTGAAAGAGTTACACAGAGATGGCGAGGTAGAGAGAGGTCTTCCATCCGCTGGTTCACTCCCCAATTGGCCACTATGGCCAGAGCTGTGCCAGTCTAAAACCAGGAGCCAGGAGCTTCTTCCGGATCTCCCACGCCAGTGCAGGGGCCCAAGGACTTGGGCCATCTTCCACTGCTTTCCCAGGCCACAGCAGAGAGCTGGATTGGAAGTGGAGCAGCTGGGACTTGAACCAGTGCCCATATGGGATGCTGGTACTGTAGGTAGCAACTTTGCCCACTATACCACAGCACCCACCCCTAGATTAATATTTGACATCTGAAATACTTGCTTTCTCGTGTCCCTTGTTTTTGCAAAGTCCTCATTTGTTTCGCTTTGAGGTCATTAACTAGTCAAGTCCAACCCCTCAAAGGGGAGAATTTATATTTTAATTGGCAAACACCAAATAGTTTGGAAAGATGGCAAAGCAACATTTTTTCTTTTAAATAGCCAATAGTGACAGCAGATTTAAAGTTGTGTTGGCCAAATTAAAACAACAAAAAGGAAAGAACAAGAGAGGAAGGAAGAAGTGGGAGGGAGGAAAGAAGGAAATACTATGATATTCTTAGAATTGTACCTACGGCCGGCGCCGCAGCTCACTAGGCTAATCCTCCACCTGTGGCGCTGGCACCCGGGTTCTAGTCCCGGTCAGGGCTCCGGATTCTGTCCCGGTTGCTCCTCTTCCAGTCCAGCTCTTTGCTGTGGCCAGGGAGTACAGTGGAGGATGGGCCAAGTGCTTGGGCCCTGCACCCCATGGGAGACCAGGAGAAGCACCTGGCTCCTGGCTTCGGATCCGTGCGATGTGCCAGCCGGAGAGGCCAATGGAGGGTGAACCAACGGCAAAAGAAGACCATTCTCTCTGTCTCTCTCTCACTGTCCACTCTGCCTGTCAAAAAAAAAAAAAAAAAAAAAAATTGTACCTACAAGCTGTGTTGAATCTGTTAAAAAAGTTAACTCAAAATACACTAATGAAGTTGGGGTGACATGTCATCCTGTCTTCCCCCTAGGTGTTCCGAGATGCCCTTACCAGTTCTGTAGAGTTAGCTCCTGTTTACACAGGGGAAACCAGTTGAGACGTAAAAGGGCCCTCCTCCACGGGTGCACATGTGAGACAGCTCGTGCCTGGTGTCTCATGTAAATGCGCTCGCTCTCCACGGGCGTTTCGCTGCGGTCTGTAAACGCGTGTCTGGGCTGAGGCCTGCTAAACAGATGTCCTGTGAAAGCCGTGTCTGTCTGTGTTGAAGTGCACCCTGACATTTCTTTTGTTTGTTTTTATACTAACCCTGCTGGCGCGTTCCTTCCTACCAGCAGCCAAAGTGATGTGGGGGCTCTTGCTTTCATTGTGCTGTCTGCCGGCAGTGTTTTATGATCGGATCTGTGGAGGTGGGGGAGGTGTGAGCACGTGGGGGCGGGGCAGGCTCACTCTGAGGTTGTCTGCCTTTGCCAAGATCCTTTCCTAAATTGGCTGTAACCTATTGAAGGTGAACAGACCAGCGAAAATATTAAGTGCACTCAGAAAAGATTGCCGTTCTAATTCTGGACTTCTGGTGCTCTCTGTGTGGCCAGCCGAGTTCCGTGCAAACCGCTGGGGAATGACCAAGCGCCCTTGTGCTTCTGTCTGTGCCTTTAGAACCCCTTCGCGGAAAACGAGGAGTCGCAGCAAAGGTCGATGCGGATTTTGGGGATGAACACTTGGGATCTGGCCTTGGAGTTAATGAATTTCGATTGGAGTCTATTCAATTCCATTCACGAGGTACGTTCTGAGTACTAAGAGGATGCACCTGCTAATGCTACTTGAGCTATGGATTCTTTTTGGAGAACGTGCGTATGCATGGTGATAAGCTAGGGTAGCGTGATCCGAACGCTGTTTCCAGACTTAAAATACATTCAAATACTGACCCAATCCTAGGACAAGCAGATGTTATGGTCAAGTTTTATTTACTGCTGTTTATATAAAGTGGTATAAATATGCAAGATTTGTATAAAATGTATGCATCCTTGTTTATGAATACACACACATTGATAAATGTATTTGAAGCTGCCAACGGGGTTGAGGAACTGTTTTCTCTTTGATATTGGCATTTTTATTTTTCTGTGAAGTTTACACGGGTTATGCATGTTATACATGTACAAATCCATTCACCCATTTACTTCAGAAGATTCTAGACAATTAGACTTGTGCTGCAATTTTGGCTATATTTCAGATTTTTATATTCATCTCTTTCCTCCCTTGAGGACACATGATTGCATTTATCAAGCAGTAGATTAGGAACAAAATGCTAATGACAACTAATGAGTGTATTTGGGCAATGGGAGGTCTCGCAGGGATCAGGGGATGAAAAATGTGAGAGCCCCCTGCAACCATATGGTCACGTTGGTTTTGCCGTGCGGTGGAATTTCTCATTCTGGAATGGCCCGTTCTCCTCAGTGCCCTAGGAGCATGTGTTAGCATCCTTCACGTGTCACGTGTTTTCTCATTTGAAAATTAACATTGCACTCTGAATTTGAGCACATAGTGCATTCACTCGGGTTAGGCGATTTGTGTCTTTGGAAAAATATTAGTACCGCTGTCCCCAGCTTGTTCAGTGGGAGCCTGCAGATTATGTCTGTAAAATGCACACTCATTTAAAATCCAATGTAATCCTTGGTTATATGCTCCATCTACATAAATCGCTACTCGCATTTGTAAATTACCGGACCTTGCCCTCATCTCATGTTCGTCCCACTTCTGGTTTGACAATCGTGCCTATGGGTGATTCTCAGAGCGGGGGTGCCCACGCCAGCATCAGCAGCGTCACCCCGGGAACCTGCACTCTCGTCTTCAGCCCCTCCACAGAGCCTCTGAACCAGAACTTCTCCAGGTGGGGCCCAGTGATCTTTGCTGTCACCTTCCTGCCAAGTGGACTCAATTCACACCAAAACCGCGGGCTCCTTGGGGCTGATGAGCACCTGAACACCTGCTGGTCACACCTGTGCTCATTCTCACTTGGATTTCCCAACAGACCAAGTCTGGGAAGTGTGGGGGCTCCACGTGAGCTGCGACTTCACCTGGAGAATGTTTGGGTTTTCCTCTAAGAGATGTCTTTCTCGCATTCTGGAAAATCCCCGTTGTGTAAGGATCTTAGGTCAGCGTTATCGAGCAAGCCATGTGTAACACACGAGAAGCATCCTTTGGAACTTTTGCCATTATGATTGGCTATATAGTCCCTGTTGAGGCATTTAATGGTGTGGGAGTGGCTACCGGGAGTTGCTCTTGGAAAGGGACGGAACTGTGTCATCAAGGCGCCTCGGACCGTGCCTCCAGTAAACCCTGGCGTGAATCTGTTTCCTTCCAGCAAGAGCTGATCTACTTCACGTTCAGCAGGCAGGGGAGCGGGGAGCACACCGTGAACCTCAGCCTCCTGCTGCAGAGGTGCAACGAGGTGCAGCTCTGGGTTGCCACCGAGATCCTGCTCTGCAGCCAGCTGGGCAAGCGCGTGCAGCTGGTGAAGAAATTCATCAAGATCGCGGCACAGTAAGTTTCACCAGGTGGACAGTGCTGCTCCCCCCGCCTCCCACAGAGTGTGGGTTCTTTCTTTTTTCTTTTCTTTTCTTTTCCTTTCCTTTCCTTTCCTTTTCCTTTTCCTTTTCCTTTTCCTTTTCCTTTTCCTTTTTCCTTTCTCCTTTCTCCTTTCTCCTTTCTCCTTTCTCCTTTCTCCTTTCTCCTTTCTCCTTTCCCCTTTCCCCTTTCCCCTTTCCCCTTTCCCCTTTCCCCTTTCCCCTTTCCCCTTTCCCCTTTCCCCTTTCCTTCTTTTTTTGCCCCTTGTGATGGTAAGAAGCATTGGGTTGCGAAAGGGTAATATTGAGTGAAAGTGACCAAATGGCTGAGAAGGTCCGACCTTGCATGTTGAGGCCTTTGCATTCCAAGTATCTCTGTCTTCAGGAAGATGCAAGCATAGCACACGGAGGCAGTGTGCTGTGTGCTTAGAGCAAGAAAGCAGGTGGTACACAGCCCTCCAAGCCTGCCGCCAAACCACAGCGTGGCTGGGTGAGCCACAGTAAGCGAGGAGCCTGGAGCGGGAGGAGTGGCAGGCTCTGAAAATCGGGTGCATTCCAGGATTCTGCACATTGCTCTTTGAGGCCCAACAGATGGGACTTTTGCAAGCCTTGCCCTGCCTTGCCCTGCCTTGCCCTGCCTTGCCCTGCCTTGCCCTGCTTGACCGCCGTCCTCACCTCCTGGTGTGCCCCAGACCCCAGCCACTCTGCACACCCCCCTCGAAGCTTGGACACCTGTGCTGACTCGGTCACACCCGACCACTTCCCCCCAGCACATTGCTATCATTTTTCATGACCTCAGTCCAAGTCTCTCCTGGACTTCCAGAGGCAGGGCCCCTACCTGCCCTCTGCACACACACGCACACACATGCACACACGCACACACATGCACACACGCACACACACACGCTTCCCCTCTTTAAAAGCCACTGTTTCCTATGTATCAAGCATACAGAAATGCATCCCAGGGCTGTGTGAGCTTGCGAAGGGCAGCGTCCGTTTCTAAATTAATCATTGCACCTGGAAGCCTGCCTCAGCGCTCGGCAGGTGGCAGCGATTCGGTAAATGTTGGTGGAGTGAAGTTGTCCAATACCAGATCCGCAGCCTGAGACCATTGGGTAGAAAGCTCCCCCTCCCCCCTGCAGGGAGCAGCATCCTCCCCCATCCCCAGGCTTGCCATTGTATTTCTCACTTTGCCTTCCAAAGCTTTTCAAAGTTTGATTTATCTATTTATTTGTTTGTTTTGTTTGTTTGAATGACAGAGTTAGAGAGAAGGGAAGAGAGAAAGAAAGATCTTGCATCCCCTAGTTTATTCCCCAAATGGCCTCAATGACCAGGGCTGTCCCAGGTTAAGGGCAGGAGCCAGGAGCTTCTTCTGGATCTCTCACATGAGTGGCAGGGACCCAGGCACTTGGGCCATCTTCCACTGCTTTCCCAAGGGCATTAGCAGGGAGCTGGTTTGGAAGTAGAGTAGCCAGAACTCAAACCTGCACCTGTATGGGATGCCGGCACACTGCAGGTGGCGGCTCAACCTCCTGCACCACAGTGCCTGCTCGCACAGTCGTCTTTACATCAGACAGGTTCAAGTATCTATCAGGGCCCTGTATTCAGGGAATGTGTGCTGGCAGGAACAGACTGATCCACACCCAAGCCCTGTCTTCACCAAGCTTGCCATGTGGCTACGACTCCTCCAGCCGATGTGTAGGGTAGAATGAGGTGGGTGCCCATGGGTGGGATCTGGTTTGTGGGGGAGGCTCCAACCCCATGGTGTGGAAAAGGAAACCAGGGGACCTCAGGGGAGGATTGTAGCATTGGAGGACCTGCTTGGCTACTGGGTGGATTTGATGGGTTGTGGGTCAGAAGAGCACCGGCTGCCAGGAAAAGCAAACTCGCTGGGGACAGAAGGAGGCCTGTGGCCCAGGAGGGCACCTTGTCCGCCTTGGCACCACAAGCCGGGTGGTTTGTCAGGCAGTGTGGGAGATCAGTGGGTGGAAGACGCCAGGACCCAACCGTGAAGGATCTTGAAGTTCATACAGAAGAGTTCGAACTGAAGCTCGAAGGCCAGAGGGATCCTCTGAGGGGTTTGGGGCAGGACGCTGGTGGGAAGAGGGGCTGTCCCTTAGGAAGGAAGGCTGCCCTGCGAGTAGCAGAGGCCGGGAGCTACGGGCCAGGGTCGGCCTGACCTGGCGTTTGGTGAGCCTGGAGAACACGTGCACCCCAGTCTTGGACTGTTTTTATGGTCAGTGCCCTCCCCATTTTTTTTATTCAGCCAATATGTTCTAAAATGACCCTTGAAAGTCCTTTTTTGCTAAAAAGGCTTTCTGCTAAATGCCAGTTAGGTGGAGAAATGGGACATAAATATCTCAAGGAGTAAAATGACACCCGCAGCCCAGCTCCCACTGTAAGATCCTGCCTATCCTCCAGGAGATGAAATAGATTCACATCTTCTCCTATAGCCTCTGAGCTCTTGAATTATTTATGGTGCCGGTCTCTATCCCTGGCCCCTGGAATAGAATGCCAACAAACATCCAGTTACATTCCTTATAATCACCCTGGTTAGGAAGAACCCAGGGAAAACAGTAATTTCCACAATCACAAAGTCTTTTCCCTGCCTAAGGCGGCTATTTGCATATTCATGTCTCCCCCACCTTCTCCGCCCATCCCCCACCTCTGGGGATGGAGTGGATTTCACTTCCTCACTCCAAGACAAAGGAATGTTTGCTGAACCGCAGTGTGTGTGACAGTGTGTTCTGACCGTGCAGCTGATCGCCCTGAGTGACAGGGACCCGGACTGAAATGGTACCTGATCTTTGCTCTGTATCAGAAATCATTAATTCCTTTCTTTACCAACAGATTCAGATATTAGCTGTCTGTGTTTTGTGTCGACTTTGAGAAAATGCTCAATGAACCGCAGAGATTCTTTATGGGCAGCTAAAAGATAGAAAGGAATGATGTCTAAGAGTCCGTAGAGATAAATGACACTAAATAAAAAGAGGAACAATTATTATTATTTTTTTTGACAGGCAGAGTTAGTGAGAGAGAGAGACAGAGAGAAAGGTCTTCCTTTCCGTTGGTTCACCCCCCAAATGGCTGCTATGGCCGGCGCGCTGCGCCGATCCAAAGCCAGGAGCCAGGTGCCTCCTCTTGGTCTCCCATGGGGTGCAGGGCCCAAGCACTTGGGCCATCCTCCACTGCCTTCCCGGGCCACAGCAGAGAGCTGGACTGGAATAGGAGCAACCAGGACAGAATCCAGAACCCCAACCAGGACTAGAACCCCGGGTACCGGCGCCACAGGTAGAGGATTAGCCAAGTGAGCCGCGGCGCCAGCCAGTTATTTTTTAATAATAATTTTCAAGCCATCTCCCCAAAAGTCATCTTCGGTTCAGCAAGTGCCGTCTAAGGACTTGCTGGATGCTGGGCAGGTGGGTGATGGACAGGATGCAAGCATGAAGTGGTCTCCTTCCCTGCTCTCCAGGAACCTTGGGTCTAGCGGGAATGCCACTTGGGGAGGCCTCACCCGTGGGGAGGGGGAGCACCCAGAAGTGAGAGAGGCCCCGGCCCCATCTGCTGCCCAGCAATTGGAGTGGCTTCCACTGGCAGGAGCTTGGTAGAGGGACTGATCTTTCGAGACATGATGTCCAGGGGTGGAGCTGATTTCAGGCTGAGGTGAGGGAGGGTCACGATGCTGTAGCCTTGGGCCGCAGCTGTTCTCAAAAACAGGTGGGAGGGGAGGGGGGGTTGGTGTCGCAGCCCTGCACAGTAAGCTACCCCTTGGGACACTCACATCCCACATCCCATATCAGAGTCTGGGATGGAGTCCTGCCTCTGCTTCCAATGCAGCTTCCTGTTGATGTGCTTTGGAAGTGGCAAATGATGGCCCACATAACCTGGGTTCCTGCCAACCACAGGAGACCCAGATTGAGTTCCTGGCTCCCCGCTGCAGCCTGGCCCAACCCTAGCTGTTGCCGGCATTTGGGGAGTGAGCCAGCAGGTGCATCTCTGGGCCTTCTCTCTCTTCCTCTCTCTCACTCTGCCTTTCAAGTGAAAACAGAGCAAAAACCAGGTGGGGTACCAACTCACCGAATAGGAAATCTCTTGTATATTCATGGGCTACACCAGCAGCGTCACGTTGGGCATGAAGGAGTCAGTCAGGCTGAGGGAACCTGCAGGCAGAGCCAGAAGATGGGCAGGAGGACCCAGAGGGACACCCCGTACCCAGTGCAGGTCCAGCAGTGAGGTGCCTGCAGCGCAGGTGCTCAGCCCACATAGCTTTGACACCAGCTGTGGAGGCAGCAGTGCCAGTCCGGGTTCCCGGCTAGGGCGCAGGTGCACTTGGCCTCGAGCGGGATCTAGTGCACGAGGCTGGTTTCAGGAGGACCTGCCGGAATAGCCAGTTTATTTCTCTTAACAGCCCAAACCCTTTTCCTGGTCTGCATCAGGCATTCTTATTCACTGCCTGTGCAACTGGAAAGCCGCCTATCTGCGGAGGGCAGACGTCCGTGTTGTGCTCACTGAGAACCACTGAAGTCTTCACAGCTGTTGGCCCATCTTGGAATGACGGGAAGTCACACTTCCTGAAAAAAGTCCTAAATACAGTAAAAAAAATACCCTGTCTATGAAGATACTCATCGTAACGTCCTGTGTAACAGGGAGAAATTGAAAGTACCTGAAAGGTCAGCAGTGGAGTAAATGCATTGTGGATTATGTTCTCCATGAAGTACTATGTAGCTGATAACGGTGATGGTGGAGAAGTCATAGTGCATTAGAGAGGTCTCACAAGGTTCATGGGAAGTGGAATTAAAAGATCAGCTGAGAAGCCGGTGCCGTGGCTCAATAGGCTCATCCTCTGCCTGCGGCGCCGGCACACCGGGTTCTAGTCCTGGTCAGGCACCAGATTCTGTCCCGGTTGCTCCTCTTCCAGGCCAGCTCTCTGCTGTGGCCCGGGAGTGCAGTGGAGGATGGCCCAAGTACTTGGGCCCTGCACCGCATGGAGATCAAGAGAAGCTTCTGGCTTCGGATCAGCGCGGTGCGCCAGCCGCAGCGTGCTGGCCACAGTGGCCACATGGGGGGTGAACCAACGGCAAAGGAAGACCTTTCTCTCTGTCTCTCTCACTGTCCACTCTGCCTGTCAAAAATAAATAAATAAATAAAATAAAAAGAAGAAGACTTAGAAGAAGCTCCCAGCTCCTGGCTTTGGCCTAGCCCAGCCCCGGCTACTGCAGCCCTCTGGGGAGGAAGCTCCCAAATGAAGCTCCTGGCCTTGTCCTGGCCCTGCCGTGGCCATTTGGGGTGCGAATCAATGGATGGAAGATCTCTCTCTAACTCTTTTTTCAAATCAATAAAATAAACCTTTAAAAAAGTAAAATACACAAAAGCTACAAAAAAATTTTCAAAATAAGTAAAAAGCGGCACGTTGATGGAAGCCGGGCCCCGGGGGCTGTTGAAATGAGCGATGTGCGGGTGAAGAGCCGTGAGTTTGAAAGAGCCTCCCTTGAAGGTGTAAGTGCTTGCAGGATAGCTTTCCACCAAGCAGGGTGCCAGGCGTCGCGACTCCTGGGGAACAGGGGAGGGCGGCCCCGGGCGGCCTCAGCCTGCCCTTGGCGATCCTCCGGCCCGAGGAGGCTTCTTCACAGCACTCTGATTCTGATTCTGCTCTCTGACTCTGCAGCTGCAAAGCCCAGCGGAACCTCAACTCCTTCTTCGCCATCGTGATGGGTCTCAACACAGCGTCCGTCAGCCGCCTGGCGCAGACCTGGGAGGTGAGCCGCGGGCAGGTGGTGGTGGGGAGGCCGAGGGGCAAAGGGATCGGGGGCTGCAGGGCACGCCTGCCTGTGTGCTGAATTGATTGAAATGGTCTCAGTGAGTCCAGCCCTGCTCGGACCAGACGGTCCTTAAGTGGTTCTCCAATTTGCACCAAAGGGATGCAGGTGATAAAAGGTGGCGCGTGGGACAGTGTAGTTCCCAGGGATAAACGTGCGCGCTCCGAGGCGGACAGCGTGGTCCAGTCCCCAGTCGCGGAGATGGACTTGCGCGCTCGGAGGCGGACGGTGTAGTTCCGTCCCGCGGCGTGGGGATGGACTTAGGAGCTCGGAAGCGGACGGTGCGGTCTGGGTCCGCGGCGCGGGGATGGTCGTGTGCGCTCAGAAGTGGATTTGCTTGAGCCGTTTGTGATGTCAGAGGCAGGCTACAGTCTTTGTAGAATTTGCAAAAGTAAAATAATTATGTAGGCTTTGTCTTGAAAAGGGACATCCCCCCCCCGCCCCCAACCCCCCAGTGTGCTGGACTTCAGGCCTCCCAAATCCCGGCCCCGCCCCTTTAGGTGGAGGGGGCTTCCGGGTGAAAAGGATACAGAGGCCCCGTCCAGCTGGACTCTGGGGTAGACGAGGGAAGAGTCGATGCCACAGCTGATCAGGCAGGAGGAAGACAAATGGCTTGCCAGGGCCTGTGCGGAGTGGCATTTGAATGAAACCTTGAAAGACACTTTGATTTGCAAAAATCGGGAGGAGCAATAATTCCACTGAACTCCAGCAGCTTCTGTTGGATCTGCACCCCGCCTGGCTGCCGTACAGGCGCAGGGTGGTGTCTGGGCGAATGAAGGGGCTCGCACTGTCCCAGCTTGGTCAGGGGGGAAGGGGTAGGTTTGAGACATTAGATCAGAGGTCCCCAATTGTTTGAGAGTGAGTACTGTTTTTTAAAAAGAGATATATGTATTTATTTATTTGAAAGGTAGTTAGAGAAGGATAGACAGAGACAGAGAGAAAGATCTTCCACCCACCGGTTCGCTGCTTTAAAGGGCCACATCATCCAAGTCCCAAGAGCTTCTTCTTCCAGGTTTCCCATGTGGGTGCAGCAGCCCAAGCACTTGGGCCATCTTCTGCTGCTTTCCCAGGTGCATTAGCAGGGAGCTGGTTCAGAAGTGGAGCAGCTGGGACTCGGACCAGAGCCCATCTGGGATGCTGGCCCTTTAGACAGCCAGGGTCAGCCCTGAGAGGGAGTGCTCTCCGGCTGGGCATGCCGTGTGGGCTCTCCCCTTGTAGGGCACGAGCAGTGGCAGGCTGTGTGCAAGGAAACAAGCATGGCTGTGTCCTGTGAAGCTTTGCTTTCCAAAAGCCGTCGTCCGTCTCCACTGTGTTGCTTTACCTCATTTTGGAAGCAGGCTTACTCCGTGGCCGACTTCCAGTGCACATCAGTGTGACTCTGGACACGTTGGGCTTGAGGTGCCACCAGAGCACGCGTGTGGTTTGTCCTGCAGACTAAGCCCCAGCTCAGAAGAAGTACTGGAATCAGCTGCAAGTGTCTACGGCCTGTGCTTTATTTAGTTTGTCCTCTGCTCTCCAGTGTTGGGGCAGGGGTAGGAGTTTCCAAGCAGATTTTTTTTAAAGATTTATTTATTTATTTGAAAGTCAGAGTTACACAGAGACAGACAGAGAGGCAGAGAGAAAGAGGTCTTCCATCCACTGGTTCATCCCCCAATTGGCTGCAACGGCCTGAGCCAGAAGCCAGAGTTTCTTCCTGGTCTCCCACACAGGTGAAGGGACCCAAGGACTTGGGCCATCTTCCACTACTTTCCCAGGCCACTGCAGAGAGCTGGATCAGCAGTGGAACAGCCGGGACTCGAACCAGAGCCCATATGGGATGCTGGTACTGCAGGCGGCGGCTTCACCCGCTATGCCACAGCGCCATCCCCTCCAAACACATTTAACTACCTGTTTGCCGTCATAAACTAATGCAGCTCTCAGGTGCCCAGACAGGACGATCGTCATCTCCATCTCTCCATCGTGTTGCTTTGCCTCGTTTTGGAAGCAGACATTCCCGTAAACGTCCCCTCTTGAACACTGGTGTTAGTGTCGCAGCTGGAACTCGCTGAGCCCCGACCCTGGCGTCTGTGCGTCTTGTGGAGCCCTGTCCATTTCCTCCACTGCAGAACAAACAAGTCCCAGAGCGTGGACACTGACCGGGAGCCAGCGAGCTAGAAACAGGGTCACAGCCCAAACTCGGAAGCACAACAGAGCGCTAAGTCGGGGGCTGAACTCGTATTCATCCCCCACCGCCCTCTGCTACGTCTCACGCCACGTGTTGATGTGGTGAGCTTCGCAGTGGAGTGATTGGGCCTGTGGAAGTCCAGGCCTCCCCGCTTAGGGCTTCTTGGCCCCTCACTGGGGAGCCCTGTGCTGGGAAACACACTGCAACGTGTCTGTCTAAGCTGTCAGCCAGGGTGCTGACCTCCACCCAGCGAGACGAGGAAGGTCAGAGAGGGGGTGGCCAGCTCAGCTTTCATTAAATAGTCACCTGCATGTGCAACCTGTACCAGCCAGACCCCTGTGTTTTAAAGGGTTTGTAGCAGCAGTGGGGGCGGGAGGGGGGGGGTGAAAATTGCATAATGAGAAGCAATCAGGGCAGAGGTGGGAGAACTTTACATTCAAAAAAGGAACACAGGCGAACAGGACGCAGGACGTAAAGAAAACCCCCCTTGGTGCCTTTCAAAATAGCTGACTCATGTGCCTTTTTTTTTTTTTTTTTTTGTATGTGTTTGCTTTTTAGAAAATCCCTGGGAAGTTTAAGAAACTGTTTTCTGAACTGGAGAGTTTAACTGTAAGTAGTCGAGCCAAAGGCTACTTCCTCTTAAGTCGAGGTTCTTTCTAGATTTCTCTCTGTGCCCACGCCCCGGCGTTAGCGAGCTCAGACCAGCCTGCTGCTGCAGAGAAAAGTTAACTTCGTGTCTTGTGGCGAGGAGAAGCCAGCGGGGGGTGCTGCCTGCTCGCCCCATGCGCAGCAGATGTGAGAGCCGTCCCCTGGGTGGAGTTCAGAAGGCAGAGTTTAAGGCCAGCTCCCTTCTAAGCCT